AGATATTTAATGGCTCTACAGTATGTGCTGTTGAGAAAGCGGGAGGTTTTTGTCTTAATAGCCCTCAGCCTTCTCCCTGATGGGAGGATGGTGAAGAGGGAATTGGCAGGGTGAGTCTCATCTTGAAGGATCTTTCTGGTGGATACGGGCCTCATAGATCTCACAGATGGGGGAGAGTTTGCAGCCAATGATATTTGAGGCCGTATTGACTATCCTGTCCAGCTGCAACCTCTGCTGGACAGTAGAGTTGCCATACCAGACAGTAACAGAAAAAGTGAGGACACTCTCGATGGTGGCTCGGTAGAACTGCAACATTCCCTTACAGGCCACCCCAAATTTCCTCAACTGCCGGAGGAAAAAGAGCCTCTGGTGGGCTTTTTTGGTAATGTTGTTTATGTTATCCTCCCATTTTAAAGAGGATGATATTGTAGTGCCTAAAAACTTAAAACTGTCCACACGATTGTGGGATATCTTTTGGAAATGTTTATCTTTATGTTTGTGTTTGGCTGTTGTTTATGTATTTTGTTGTTAGATGCCGGAATTCATGGGCAAGGGCTTGAATGTAACCTTAATTGATATAATTTGATTAATTGATATGTAGTCCAAGTCCAGCTTTACATTGAGATAGATGACTCTTGGATACGATGATTTATATACCTCTCAATTTCATTGGTCCTTTTAATCTGTTGATTTCTCTCTCTGTTGGTTTTTTAATTTCTCATTGGTCCTTTTAATCTGATGGTTTCTCTTTCTGTTTGTTTTTCAATTTCTCATTCTCACAGTTTATCTTTGTCTTTCGCTTCTCTCTGTATCCACAGCTCTGTCTTTGCTCTCTGTTTCTCTCTCTCTTTATCTTTCTCTTCCTCTGCCCCGAAGCCTCACAGGAAGCAGAAGGCCAATTTTTTGGGGAAAGGAGGGGGAGTGGACATCACAGATTTTATTTTTGTCTAACATGATTTGGCACGATGCCCTTATCCCAGATTAAACTTCCCAAACTGACGCGGTTCAGCGGGTTGCAGACCCCGCGTACAGTCTCTGCCGGACCCTCTTTGTACCAGAAAGTCGTGTCTCATTGGAGTTTTAATGGGGAATTGGATGAATGCAGCTGCTCCTTTTCAGCAATTTCTCGATCGTCGACTGATAGCTGATCAATCAAAACAGCAGGTGGTCTGATCAGAGAAGGATGAAGCCTCTATTAGTACTTCAGGTGAAGACTTCCATTGAAAACATAATAGGGGCCCACTTTTCTAGGATGTTTTGGTCGATCCACATCTCTGTTCTAGCCGTCTCCATTCTCATACCATTTGATTGTATTGTCACCCAGCAACCATTAATAGTATAGACTGTATAATGGACAAAGCTTCCGGGTCTGTGGGCCTCAAATCTGTTCACAAACATATTTTAGTGTTGATCTGGAATATGAGATTGTGTGTGACCAGGTGAGCAGCCATTGTTTCCTTAAGGATAAGTCAAAACTAGACAGCCAAAGAGAGCAGCTCAATTTGCTAGGTTTACGCTTGATGTTAACCATAATATTACCACTTAAATTCCAAAAATATCTTGATTGTCTAAGTCAAATGTACAAGTCAGTGGTATTACTAATATATGGAATTAGCAATAATTGCAGTTTTACTATATATATATATTGTTATGATATAATGTATTAAATGTAAGTAAATTCAATCCTCTTCTGTTGCTTTTCTCTCTCTCAATTGTTAGCTAACTTTGGTTCTTCTAATCGTGTTTTTCCATTAGCACTTTTGGCTGTGCAAAGTGTGGGAAATAAAAGTTTTAGATGGGGTCGTAAATGTGTACAGTTTGGTTAGGGGTTAGTGATTTTATAGTAGGAGCATGTCTGGTAAGAATCTGGTCACAGTCACAGGGTCAGATCAAAGGACCATTTGTGTTAAAGACCTAAAACCTTCACATGCGATTTACATGTGTTTTTGTTTGGATATGAAGGTATATGAGTGAGATCATTCTGGAAGTCGAGAGAGAACATTCATGCTGAGGTTTTTCTCCATGCTGCATGTAATAAAGTGGACTGATTCATCACACCAGTCTGTAATTTCATCAGAGAACTAGCGACTCTCAATCTTTTGAAGAATTTCTACTGCTAGACTCAAACCATTCTGTGTTGATTTGCATTGCCATTACCAGTTTAGATATCTGCTTTATTTTGCTGTTTTGTGTTTGCTTTCAGTTGTATGGGAGTTTGCTGATGAAACCCCAATACTGCTGAGTTTGTTGCTTCATAATGAAAGCGTTTAAATAACAAAATAACCAGATACTTTTATTGTGAAGGATTTAGAGGAAGTTAAAAGTGTGTATCACCAGAGTGGAGCTTTGTTAGCTGGTTGCTCTCTTTTCATTCAATCTAGAGCTCTCTGGGGGGAAATGTCTCTGCAGCATTCCTCTAGGATTAAAGCTTGATTTGTATTTGCTCGTAAAAACGGTTTTGATGCAGTAAAACTTTAAATAATTGGAAGAACTAACTAACAGCGTTCTTTCAGTTAAAAATTACGAGTTTGAATTTGTGTACGTTTCTAGTCTATATTCCCTGAGTAAGAGATTTACATAGATTATAAGAGTGTGACAGACGTTTAGTTCCAGATGTTGAGTGATGCTCAGCAGCAGCAGATGTGGATGCTCACACATCCAGAGGTGGATCTGATTGTGCTGACCATGTGACCTGCTGTCTGTCAGCAGCTCTTTGAGCAGATGGCATCTTTCTCTCTCTCTCCGAGCTTTCTTGTCGATCGTTCTCTTCGTGTCCCTCTCTTCTCTTCTCTCTCTCTCTGTGTGTCCTCAGACAACTCAGGACGATCCTCCACAGATCAGCGATACATCTGCTTCACAAACATTTCATTTAGCCAAAGCATAAAGGAAGAGTGTATGAAACAGATAAACAAATTGGTTATCTAAGAATAGAAATCACTGTTGTGTGTCGATGTGTAGGTGGCAGACAGTTTCATACAACGATGTCTTATTAGCTCATATGCTCAGATGCAGATCTGTGTTGTTTGGCTTTTCTTCGCCTCTTCGTTTGTCAGTTTGTTGCTTCCTGCTTGTTACCAGGGGAGAGGTGGCTTGGAAGTCCCTGAACATCACACAAACAGCTGAGACTGATACGGCCCGATGCCCACACAATTATCTGTGATCGAGGGAAAAAATATAAAGATCCCAAGGAGAGATGTAGAACTAATACATATATATATAAACATATATATATATTGGGCTTCATTGTCTTTAATCAATGGTGACAGCTGAAGAGTGACAGGAAACAGAGTAGAGAGAGAGGGGGGATGACACGCAGCAAAGGACCACCGGCCTCACACAGGACACCAGTTCTACTAGGTGAGCTACCAGGGCGCCACACATCCTGCTTAGATTTTATGAACTTTACTCAGATCTAAAGTAGCAGTAGCTTTCAAAAGAAAACAGAGAGTGGCATCAATCTTCTCATCTAACTTCTTCTAGAAAACAAGCAAATATTTCTCAAAATGTTGACCTGTTCCTATAAAGCAGAAGAGAGAAAAAGAAAAAGAGAAGAAACAGCAGAAATATCAATAATGAAACATGAAATTAAGACTTTTTATTAAAACTGCTGCAGCTTCTTTGTGGAAGAATTTACCAGCTACGAGATGTTTCACAAGAAATATAAATGATAAGTGAATCAGTTGGTCAGCAGGTGTGATTGATGAAAACACAGTTTGGAGACGGCCCGGGGGCTGAGATGGAAAAGCTCGATGTAGTGATAAAGAGAAGATTAAAAGCTTCTTCCTCCCTCCTCCTGCAGCTGTGGATGCAGCATCAGCAGTTTGAAACTATAGTTTCAGTCAATGTTTGCACACAGAGGAGCTGTTTCATTAAAGGGTCATAAATGTTGTATGTGGCGACGCTGAAATGTCAAAACTTTATCAACAGAAAGTCCAAAATGCCAGTGAGCACAGACACATGCTAAATGCACACAGAACGATATTTTCAATAACTCTTTTCTCCGTTTGTAGCCGACCTGCTGGTGAATACGCTGTGCCTCCCCTTCACCCTCGTCTACACTCTGCAGGGAGAGTGGAAGTTCGGCAGCACCCTCTGCTTCCTGCTGCCCTACGCCCAGGGGCTCGCCGTGCATGTCTCCACAGTTACGCTCAACGTCATCGCCCTGGACCGCCACAGGTGGGTGTGGTCTAAAGCCGGGATCATTTATATAGTTTTACACTAACGAGAGTCAAGTAGATATCGAGACAGATTTAAAGGCCTACTGTTTATATTTGAAATGTTTTCTTACACCACTTAAAATCAAGAAGGCCTCTAAACCCTCCGTGAAGTTTTGGCTAGTACGGGTCCTATATCAAAATCCAATATTCTTTTCTGCCTGTAAATCAAAATTTGTAGCGTGCTTATGTAAGCATGAACAGACTGATTGCAACCAATAATATTGTTTGCATTGAGAAATTGTTACTAAAAGAAACTAAAGTCTCCTTAACATTTTCACCATCAAATGGAGTCTCAGCATACAGACAGCTCTTGTCGCTGCTCTTGTGCACATTGACTCTGTTACACTTTAATTAGTATCATTGGTAACACCTGAGTTTATCCTACTATTTCAAGTAAAAATTACTTCTGTGAAAAAGGTCTATTGTGAATCTTCAGTCGGTGCCATCGTCCTCTGCATGATAAATATTTAAATATAAGTCATTTCCACCATAATACAACTTCTCTCAGGAAAAGAGGATTACAATGACAATTCACATGCAAATGGGGCACTCTGATGGCCTTGCTGCGCCGCTGATAGCACAATTCAGCTTCAGTTGGCTGTTTTTTGGCAGTTTGAGTGTAGATGTTAAGTGTGCGGTGAGATTTGGATGAACTGTGGCTATTTACATAATTTCAACCTGTGTGACCCTGCAGACCTGATTTTGAACAACTCGTGTCCTATTTTAATCTTGAAGTTGCCTGAACCTCACCACGAGTTGTATCAAATCACGCGTATGCAGAGGTCCACAATGTTGAAAATCTAAAACAACCTGCATAACTAAGCCAAACAGTTTTCAAAAATACACTACTCAAACCAACCCCAACAACTAACATCTTACACCTCAAACTAGCAACCAACAGCACTCGAGCACCTGACAATATGTTCAGCTGATCAGCAGGCGGCAGCAAGGCATCAGAGTAAGCCACCCTTGCATCGTGAATTCCCGTCAACCTATGATAATCCTTTTTCCTGACGAGACGTATGCAACTCACATCCATATCGCTCTCGGAAAATAGCACTATATATTCTAAATATTTTATCATGCACCCAAGAGGACGATGGCACCGACTTGGACAAAATATACACAATAGACCTTTTTTCACAGAAGTAACCATTAATACATTAACTTGGCAAATAAAAAGTAAAGGAATAAAAACCTACACAGGTGATATATAACACACAAATGCACCTACATAATTAAAATGAAACCAGAGTCAAATGTTCACAACATAAGCAGCGACAAGAGCACTGTACACTGTATATGCTGGATCCAATAATTGAATGGGTCGAAATATGTTAAGGAGGACTTTAGTTATCCTCTCTCTCATAGGTAACAAAATTTACTCAATGCAAAACAATATTCTCTTCGGTTGCAAA